CCGAACCTAGATTATTAATTATTATTAATATATCAATATTATTTGTCCAAACCTAATTACGAAGCATGATTCTTTGCCAAGTAGGATTCCGAAGAACCAGAAACAGCCATGTAGGCTCAGCGCATTCGAAAATAATATATAGAGAGGATTAATAATCTAGGTTCGGACATTCCATAAATATTATTTAGCTAACTTAGGTATTTTAATATCACTTGTACTAATATAACATTTTAATTCTTTGTAATTTTACATAGTGAGACACTAAGTGACTAATATATCCCTGACTTTTTATTTGTTTCTTTCAATTAGCTATTGAATTATAAATGTATTTTAAAAGTTGATAACTTTTGTTTTTCTTATCGGTTTTACATATATAATATATCAAATTAATCACCTTTTCATGATCTTCGATTTGACATCCATATTGTATATATATAAAAAATAAATAAATTATATTTATCTTTATATTAATGAAAAATAATAATATTTATTAAAATTTATTAGAAAAATAAAATTATTTCTCAGTTGATATATTTATGTTTAATGTAGTTATATGTTGTAAGTTAAAAAAATTATTATAATATAACACAAGTAAGTGACACAAATAAAAAGTGTCATACTAAATATATAATAATATATATATTTTAATAAAAGATATAAAAATTTTCAACCATTTTTTCTTATTAATTTTAGATTTTAAGGAAAAAATTTAGCAAGCACCCATGTAACACACGGGCGTTGTACTAGTATATATATATATATATATACATATATATATATATATATATATCAGAATAAACTCATGAGATTATTTAGAAAAAAAAAAAGAACTTATCCTATCAAACCTAACCCATTTAAAATAAAATGTTAGCTAACTAAATAAAAAATAGCGACATAATGCTACGGTCTCGTTACTGAACTATTCCGTCGAGGTTTGTAACCGTTTGATCAACTATCCTCGACGATTACATGATAATCTAACGGTTACAAACTCTCACGAAATAGTCCCGTAACGGGACTGTAGCATTTCCCCTAAAGTATAGCCTACCAAACACACTCTTAGTAAATATGATCCCTATAATCAAATTTATACAATTCAATGTTCTCCTTCAAAACCATTTTTGTTTTTTTCTAAATAGTATTCTTACTTTGGGAAAATTATCAAAATATAATTCACTAATTTCATCAACAAAATGAAGGAAATCTGAAAAAGGAAAACAAAAACAAAAAAGGGGGGAAAAAAAGAAACATATATATTTTGCAATTATCTAAAATATCCGGGGCCCAAATAAAATATCCTCAAAATTTATCCTGTCCCACCGCGTGTACACAGCAGCTCCCCTTTATAAAAACAAAACGAATTTTCTTCTCACCATTCTCATTTTCGCTCTACACTGAAGATCGGATCACACATCAACTCTCTCAATTTCAACCCTTCCTGTAAGCTTTTCCATATCTCCCCACCTTCAATTTTCTCGATTTAAACAGCTCTCAGATTGTGATTTTCTTATTATTTTCTCAGATTGTGGGTGATTGTGGTTATTTTGATCTTCCGTTGGAATGGCTGTTGTGCGATTTGTGTGTGTGTGTGTGTGTGTGTGTTTTGAATCTTTGAGTGATGTCTCGCAGGTGAGAAGCTATGGCGCAGATCTTGCTTCATGGGACCCTTCATGTGACGATCTATGAAGTGGACAGGCTGCACAATGGAGGTGGGGGGAATCTTTTCAACAAGGTACAAATTCGGATCTCTAGTTAACCTTTTTTTTCTGCAAAAAGATATGATGATGGGCATGTTTGTGTCGGCCGATGTGGTTTCTGCTTATGATTTGACTCTTCTTTTGGATCGAATCATGTCCATGGATCGAATATTCTTGCTGGTTAATGGGTTGTTTTCAATGTGTTTGGATTGGTTTTGTATGCTTATATGATGTCACAGATCTTTGGAGATAGGTTTCATTTTTGTGTGTAGAGGTTGTGGCACCACAGCAGTGTGTGATGAGGGTCGAATTCGGAGTATTTCATGTTTAAATCCGATCCCAGTTGGATTATTGCTTTGCTAATGAAAGTGAAGCCATGAATGTTAAATAAACAAATTCAAGCAGTTTTCGTGTTGGCTGGTTCTTCTTCTGAGGCAGTACCATTTATCAGGCTAGTCCGCTAGTGTCCGGATGAATTGAAAGTGATATATTCAAAAGAATTCATGCCCAGAAGTGTTCTGTGCTTAAATTGATGTTGATGAACTTTCGGACTTATAAAAATGTAGTGATATACTACTACCTTTTCCTGTTACAAATCGACTGTCTGTTTTACTAATTCCGATTGATTGGTCTATACTGATTTAACTTCTTCACTAATTGACCGAAATCCACGTTAGCTCATGGCCAACATCGAGGAGAGCGTAGGGTTCGGCAAAGGGACCCCCAAAATCTACGCAACCATTGACCTGGAGAAGGCTAGAGTCGGGCGCACCCGAACCCTGGAGAAGGAACCTAACAACCCCAGGTGGTACGAGTCCTTCCACATCTACTGCGCTCACAATGCCTCGAACGTGATATTCACTGTCAAGGACGATAACCCGATCGGAGCCACTCTGATCGGTCGGGCTTACGTGCCCGTCACCGATCTCCTCGACGGTGAAGAAATCGATCGATGGGTCGAGATACTCGACGAGGACAAAAATCCAATAAAGGAAGAGTCCAAAATCCACGTGAAGCTCCAGTTTTTCGATGTATCCCGCGATCGCAACTGGGCCCGCGGGATAAAGAGCGCTAGGTACCCCGGAGTCCCATACACTTTCTTCTCCCAGAGATCGGGCTGTCGTGTCTCCTTGTACCAGGATGCTCATGTCCCGGATAATTTCATCCCGAAAATCCCATTATCCGGTGGGAAATACTACGAACCGAGCAGATGCTGGGAAGACGTGTTTGATGCCATTACTAACGCCAAGCACTTGATTTACATCACGGGCTGGTCTGTTTACACCGAGATCACTTTGATACGTGACTCAAGGAGGCAGAAGCCCGGGGGAGATATTACTCTCGGCGAGCTTCTCAAGAGGAAGGCGAGTGAAGGCGTTCGCGTGCTCATGCTCGTGTGGGACGACCGAACCTCGGTTGGTCTTTTGAAGAAGGATGGTCTAATGGCGACTCACGACGAGGAGACCGAACAGTATTTCCAAGGCACGGACGTGCACTGCGTGCTGTGCCCGCGTAACCCGGACGATGGCGGGAGCTTCGTGCAGGACCTTCAGATTTCCACCATGTTTACTCACCACCAGAAGATTGTGGTTGTCGACAGTGATCTGCCGAGCGGACAATCGGACAGGAGGAGGATCGTGAGTTTCGTGGGTGGAATCGACCTCTGTGACGGAAGGTACGACACGCCGTTCCACTCGCTATTCCGGACTCTAGACACGGCCCACCACGACGACTTCCATCAGCCCAACTACACGGGAGCCGCCATCGCCAAAGGCGGGCCACGCGAGCCCTGGCACGATATCCACTCACGGCTCGAAGGCCCGATCGCGTGGGACGTGCTGTTCAATTTCGAGCAGAGGTGGAAGAAACAGGGTGGGAAGGATGTTCTGCTCCACTTGAGGGATCTCGATGATGTCATCATTCCTCCTTCCCCGGTTGTCTACCAAGATGACCACGAGACGTGGAACGTGCAGCTTTTCCGGTCGATCGACGAGGGGGCTGCCTTCGACTTCCCAGCCACTCCCGAAGAGGCTGCCCGGGCCGGGCTCGTGAGCGGGAAGGACAACACTATTGACAGGAGCATCCAGGATGCGTACATCCATGCAATTCGCCGGGCCAAGAACTTCATTTACATCGAGAATCAATATTTCTTAGGGTCGTGTTACGGCTGGGATTCATCTGATATTAAGGTGGAGGATATTGGGGCGTTGCATCATATCCCCAAAGAGCTGTCTTTGAAGATCGTGAGCAAGATCGAGGCTGGGGAGAGATTCACTGTGTATGTCGTGGTTCCAATGTGGCCCGAGGGGATACCGGAAAGTGCTTCGGTTCAGGCTATATTGGACTGGCAGAGGAGGACGATGGAGATGATGTATAAGGACATCATTCAGGCCCTTCGGGCCAAGGGTATCGAAGAAGACCCTAGGAACTACTTGACGTTCTTCTGTCTCGGTAACAGAGAGGTGAAGAGGAGCGGGGAGTACGAGCCATCCGAGAGCCCAGAGCCCGACTCGGACTATGAGAAGGCTCAGCAGGCTCGCCGGTTTATGATTTACGTTCATGCCAAGATGATGATAGGTAAGTGACTATTGCAATTTCTTTCCGAGTTAAAAGCAAATCTTTTTATTTTTGTGTCATGAAATCACCTATTTTATCTATTTTTTCCTCCCTTGGCACTTGGCAGTTGATGACGAGTACATCATAATTGGGTCGGCCAACATTAATCAGAGGTCGATGGACGGGGCGAGAGACTCGGAGATTGCAATGGGGGCCTACCAACCGTACCACCTCGCTAGCAGGCAGCCCGCCAGAGGGCAGATCCATGGCTTCCGGATGGCCCTATGGTACGAGCATCTTGGCATGATCGACAACTCCTTTCTCCGCCCAGAGAGTGAAGAATGCGCTGCCAAAGTGAATCGTATGTCCGACAAGTACTGGGACCTTTTCGCTAGTGAGGAGCTCGAACGGGACCTTCCGGGCCACCTGCTCCGTTACCCGGTCGGAATCACTAGCGAGGGCGAAATTACAGAATTGCCCGGGACTGAATTCTTCCCGGACACTAAAGCGCGCGTGCTCGGTGCCAAGTCAGACTACCTCCCGCCCATCCTCACGACATGAGGTCAGTGTCGGGATCTTAGGTGTTTGATTGAAGTAATGAATAAGAATCGTGGGGTTTTAATGTGCGATCAGGTTTTTATTTTTATTTTTTATCTATTCGAGTTTGCTGACGATGATACGTGTTGTGTTGTGTTGTGTTCTTGTGTTCTGAAGCAGTCTGCTTTTCTAATGACCTTTTTTTGTGATAACTGAACTTAAACAAGTACTTTGTTATAGACTTCATGTATTTTGCAGTTGTGTATTTCTGAATTATGCAGCTGAGAATTACTTCAATAGTAAGATTATGATATTATTATTAGTTGACCATATAATTTGTTGTCCGTATAATGTGATTATATGTTATTATTGTAGGTACTAAATTAATTTTTTTGAAAAAAAAAAACGTATTTGAAATTTCTAAATAGATAATAAATAATTCAAAAAAAATACATATTAAATTTATACATTACATTCAATCTGGTAAACGCATTTTAAAAAATAAATACTCTAGCTCCTTTAATTGTAAATTTGACCTGCAAAAATTGAAAGGAAAATTTTTAATCCTTATATGTATACAAATAACTCGCAATACCTCATTTACATATGTGTAAATGCACATGGTCGAATTTGGTTTAATTATCACGCAATTTTCCATTGTTGGGTGAAGATTTAAAGGGGTTCTAGAAGGGTTAGGCAAGTGAGGTTATCATGAGTATAACTTGGCCAAGACAACTCGTTTTTCACAGTGTCGAATCGAGCACTTTCTCATTGTTGCTTGAGCTTGGCTTGAATTTAGATCAATTTCAAAGGTATTTAGAACACTTGAGCTTATAAAATACATGCTTGAATTTGAATTTAAGGTCAAATTGCTCGAGCTCGACGTGTGCTCAGTCAAACTCGAGCTTGAGCAGAGCTTGACTCGAGACGAGCCACTTAAATCGTTTACGAATTTGTCCCCCACTCTATGTATCATTAGTTTTTAGTTAACAATTGATAAAAGTGATGAGATGGTATTCCAAACAACCATGATTACACATAGATGTCCTTTTCGTAGTTGAAGTCCAGTGGCTTTCATCTTTAGAACTTTTTGACTTGCCAATGTGAAAACGTAAAAGAAGCCTCAAATTAAT